TCTCAGACTTCTTGACAACTCCAGGAAACTTACCCTTCTCTCTTCCATGGTTGCTTTCCCTCCAAACATGTTCTTTGTTTACTCCTTGACCTTGCTCTGAATACTTTCATGTGCCTTCTCTGATCTTTTTTTCTTCTAAGATTTTGAGTTTTCCTTAATACTAGTTGTCTTCTTGCAAATGGATATTCCTCAGGATAGGTCAATGGGCAAAGATGGCACTCTGGATTTCCAAATGCCCAAAAATTGTAACAACTTTCTCTACTTCACAGGCATATATTCCCCAAAGTCCCTGATTTCCAAACTCATTCTGCTATTTATTCTCAAAGTCTTTTTTTTTATATCTGTGTTTTCTTTGTCCCCCGCTCTTGTCTTCTCATGGAATCTTCTTTACTCTCTGCTTGTTCATGTGTTTTCCTCTGACCACTGAACAGACATTCAAATTATCTTTGCACTGTGAATAATTTTAAAAACTGTTTAATTTTGAGTATACGATAAAGAAGTTGGCTCTGTGTTTCAGCCCTCTCCCTCCAGACTTGAGTATGTTGCTTAAAAGTTTCATTCAAATCTGTCCTGTGTCAGATATACCTGACTCTATAATAAGGAGAAGGAGAACAAAAAGAAAAGACACCATATGCTTAAAAATAACTAAAACACAAACTTTTTGAAATAGTGATTATGGCTGCTAATCTACCTCCCTCCCTTATATCCCTAAAACTTTTGATAAAATATTTTTCTTAAAGATTTGTAAGTCTATTTTCTAAAACTTCTGTAGCTACGAATTTGTGAATTCATTGAGTATAGTTTAAAAATCTGTAAAATCTGAAACAAAAACTCAGGTTAAAATTTGTAACAGAAAGACTTTAGAGTTAAAAATATAGAATATGCTTATTTGTGTCTTGAATTCAACTCTTGTTTAGAAAAATAGATATGACACAAAATCTGCACATGTCATTTGATTTAATTCTTGTTTGTGGATAAAAGAACTTGCTAACAGCAAAAGTTTCAAGATGATTTATGATTCCCAAGGTTTTAAGAGCCTATTTACCATAATAGAAACTGATTTAGAGATGTATGTCCGATCACTTTTGCCATTGCTGTGTCCAACCCTAGGCATATAGACAATATAGATAAGGAATAATATGTATTTAATGAATAAGTTATGTTTGATAAAGTTTATAAATTTCTAACATCTATCCTGGCTAGAAGAAACTGAATCTAAGATGGATACATACCCTTTTTGTATTTGATAACTTTGTTAATCTTGAGCTTTCTGAATAAAATATGTCATATAAGAAACTGATATTCTGTAAAGGTACACTATGAATGATCATGAAGTTGTGTTCCCAGACATGCTGTGAATTATATTTTTTGTTTAAAATTTTATTTTGTTGCCAAAGGATCTTTATTTTTCCTTTGGTTTTTCAAAGGAGGGTTTCTCCGTGTAGCTTTTGTACCTCTCCTGAAACTAGCTCTTGTAGAGCATGCTGACTTTGAACTCACAGAGATCCATCTGCCTCTGTCTCCCTAGTGCTGGGATTAAAATCATGTACCACCACTGCCCAGCAAGGGTCTTCAATTAAATGTTCAATTCAAAATTATAAGGCTCACTTAACAGGGATGAAACTGTAAATTCTATTCTTATAAAAGCTACCAACTTGTAAACTGTAGAAGATGATTACAACATGGAAGATAATGGTCAGTCACTTTATAAATGATCAAATTCTTTACCCGGCTCAGAGCCTTGTTTTGGTCACGATGAGTAAGAATGTATTTCACTTACAGCGGGACAAGCTTTAGCCTTCTGCTTATGCTATCAATGACAAGCCTGAAGCAAGTAACTAAAAAGAAGTAACGTTTGTGTAAAATCAGATATAGTAAATAAATTAGATGATGTCCCTCAAACCCCTCAGAGAGATCTGTTGAACATGGCATTTAAGGTACTTAATAAAAAGACTTCACCTTATAAACAAGAATACTAGCTTCCGTAATCTGTAGTTGAGTTTATTCAAAAATACCATGGAAAACACAGACTCCACCTGGATATTACCTCAGCTGTACTAATGCCGACCACTGGGTCAAGAGCTGGCACATGTCTCCCCCACCACCTGGTCCCTGCCCAAACTGTGAGCACTGTGGCGTTGAATGCCCCACTCTGCCTTGGTGAGATAGGTCAGTTTCCTCAAGTTCCTCCTCCATAGAAACATTTCTCAAATCCCATGAGTCTGGTTGTTGAAGGCTGATGCTGTCCTATGTGGCAACCAAAGTCCAATGGTGCCTCATGTGACATCTAAACATGACAATCTCTGCTCTCAAAAAAGATATTCAAATCATATGAAGGATCCCAACTGCTTGCCCCAGTATCAGGTAAGTCACTATCGTTTTAGCTGATACAGAGGCAATTTAGATTATACCTCCTGCTCACATGTATCCTCAGATATCTAATAGTGGTGATAGCAAGTTTCAGCTTTATAATTTTAGCAGCAGCAAGCAGTCCTACTCAGCTCCTCCCAACAAGGCTGCAGTTGCATGGTCAGTCCATATCATATGCAAAAGTCAGGTCTTGTTTTATTCTACAGTGAACAGGTCATCTGCTGAAAAAGGCAGACTCACACACAAGGTTACCTTGCTGACAGGGCTAACACTAAAAAAGATAATCTCATAAACAAGTTAAACATAAAACAAAGAAAACCAGCCCATAAATCACAATCCCATGGGACCTAGACAGCAGTGAGGACTCTAAGAGAGACATACGTGGATCTAATCTACATGGGTAGTAGAAAAATACAAGATCTCCTGATTAAATTGGGAGTATGGGGACCTTGGGAGAGGACTGAAAGTGAGGGGGGAGGCAGGGATGAGAACAGAGAAAAATGTAGAGCTCAATAAAAATCAAGAAAAAAAGAAAACCAAATTGAAACTATCATGCTATTACTAGAAACAAATATACATTTTACTATTCTTTTATTGTAAAGAACCTCCTTTTGAATTATTGCTTCCATAAGTCAATCATATTAGTCTCCTGGTAAAAGATTAGATGGAAAAAACATTGAAGTTGATGTTAGTTTTGAGGTTCTAGGGAAGTGATTTAAAGTAGGTAAATGAAAGTTACAAAGATGTGTTTAACTTATCTAAGGTATATGAAAATGTGACTTAAAGATTCAAACATATATAGTTTATCATGTTAATCAGTGGAGTTCTGATTAGCTATTAATCTAGCCTTGGTAAAGTACTACCTACTATTTTCATAGCCAACGAGTAAAATTTTTAATTTTCTTTCATTGTTTTCTAAATAAGACTTAAAATTGCTTCTCATTGTGCTGAATACTTAACTGATATACGTATATAAAATCTGAACAGAGGAAACAGGGAAAGAGTGTTCATAATTGTATTCCCCCTTTGAATCACCAAGCTTTTGATATGACTCTAAATCATGAGTCTACAACAGCTATTTATAGACACTGGCTAACTGCTTCTTCTACAATAAGGTTTCAGTACAGATTACAGAGAGTGGAAATATTAATATATCTAAGTCTTTCATCTTCATCTGTAAACTAAAACAAATTAAAGCAAGATTCAGTGAGTTGTGACTTGAATTCACCTATTACACATCAGGCGGATAAGTACTGCTGTCAGTTAACAGTTAAAGCTTTCCTGCCCACTGCCTCTCCTTGAGGACGGGCTCTCTCTCCTCCTAGTCTTGGAACTCCTTCCATCTCCTGCTGTAGTGGGCTACTGAACTGTAGCCCTTCCATCCTGTGAAAGCATTCCTAAGAGTAGTGTATGTTACAAATAATCTAGCATCTAGGAATTTTTTCTTCACATATTCCATAACACCACAAGTACCAGGAGTATAGGCCTGGAAGTTTGTTTCCTTCTTACAGAGCAATGAATAGGTTGGACATTTAAGAAGAAACTTCTTAGTATAGGACCATATAAACCTACAATTGATACTCAAATGAACAAAGGAACTGTTAAAACAATAAAAGCAAACAAAAATTACTTAAAAAGCCAAATTATTACTCCAAAATATAACTAGCCAACAAATGAACTAAGAAATATTCAGAAAGATCAAATGTCAGAGTAGTAGTTCAAACAGTAAAAAGATGGATGACCTAAAAGAAAATAAAACAAGCAAGTAAATTCAACTGGGCATTGAGACAAATACAACACTGTACAGGAGAACAATGGCTAAAGGGTGAAT